CGTAAAATATAAAAAATGCTTAAAAATCAAGAGACGCGGTAATTTCGTGCCAAGCGAACGCGAAGCATAAGATTTTGCGTTGTGAGATTTTTTAGGTAGACATAAAGTGAGTTATGTTAATTTAAAAATGAACATTAAGCTACATTTATTTCTTTTGTGTAACATTCACTTATTATATTTTGAGAGCCAGCAGCGCCAAGTTTTTTGTACTTTTACTTTTGGAAATAATATATATATTATCAGGCCACAAATTTTTAATCGTAAAATTTCCTAACATTTCCCTGATTTACTGACAAAATTTTGAGATTTTTCCTGACTTTGAATAATACATATTTTGCAATGTTTCTTGTATTCTTATCGTAATACGGAAAATGTTAAATATTTTAATAAATAAAATGAACAATTCTAGATTATTCATAAGTTAATTTCCGCTCGTATGATAATAAAACAAATTCGTAAATAGCATAAGTAAAGTCGAAACGTTCTGCGTAAAATTATACTTGTAAAGATTATTTAAGATTAATTTTAGTATCTATTATTAGCTCGTTCAAATAAATAATTTGACCTGGTATGCTATTTAAGAATTTGTTAAATATTTTGTTGATCCAGCAATGTAAAATAGATGCACATTTTCTTCAGGAAACGATTTCAAAAAAAAGGGGGGTAGTCCAAACAACCAATCATAGTAGCACAAGGCAATATAAATTTATTTACTTTATTTTCCCTCACAAGTGTGCTAAATCCCTGACTTCTCTGACGCATTTTTTAATTCTCTGACATTTCCCTGATTTCCCTGACTAGTGGCAACCCTGATTATATATGTGGCAAGAAAATATACTCCTCTCGTAATTGGCACAATTTAAACTTTAAAGATTTCATTTCATTTTTTTAAAGTGTGTATTTTGGAAGAATTTTTGAGAAAAAACCGTCGAAACATGGAAGGACAAAGGATATAGAATCGTGTAATATAATGAAGCGATTAATTGACGAATGCTTTTATTACATTGATAGCGGAGTCATTTTCTTAAGAGCATTCGATACGATTCACTGGATGTTATTACATCAGCAATTAAAAAGAGGTATCCGTGTTCTCGTCGATATGCACGATAAGCGAAAAAGGGGTCAGCTGGCAAGCCCCTGTCCTCTCGACAGTAATTGGAGCGCGAAGAGTCAAGTTGCATTTCCAGGAGGATAACGGTCATCAAACAGGAATCCTTATCCCACGAGCGCGTGGCGTATCGTAATCGATTAAATGCCGATAGGGCGGCCCCTCGGCTCGCGTCGCCTTTTATTCGTTCATTATGAGATTTCGTTACAAAGGATTTTATCTCTTTACGTAACAATGTCCTGCGCTGGTTTCTTGGATTTTAAAAAGGTCTTCGACCGGGAGCACTTCGCTCCGGCTCGTTGAAGGCTTTGATCTTGAATTAATGCAAGTCAACCGGTGGGCACAACGATAATCGTCCCATCTATATCGAATCAATTCCATCGCCCCAGTCGATGTTCATTGCAATGACGGAAAGAAATTCTCTTCGAGCATTTGTTCTTCCCACTATGCACTTCCGAGGAGTGCCCTTAGAAATCCATCACGAAAAATCCTCTCTCTTGATCTTTTTTCTTTTTTTACGCGCGGATCACATTAAGCTTCCCCAAAGTGTGTTCTTCTCTCGATAATAGAACGAGTTATTTATTTTAATTTAATTTCAAAGACGAGAGAATAAGAAGAGTCTCTCGTTTATTCACTTGCGAATGTTGATTGTATTTCCTCCAATTTAAGCATTGAATTTAATTAAGTTCCAGCCAAGTATAGCTGTCTGTGCGGTTTTGATTTGACTCCAGATTTCCAATACACTATCAGGTCAAATCGATGGTAGCTTCAACGAACGCTGATAGTAAACACGATTTAGAAATCAAATATCCACCCGCGACTCTGATAACGGGTTAAGTTAACCGGTAAAATAAACATGAATAATATTGATATTACCGACACCAAAATAAGCTTGGCACAGAAATGAGATTTATCGAGGACAAGTACACTGCACATACGTGATTTTGCACTAAACGAGTGTGAATCAGACGTATGAAAGAAAAAACGATTCCGATATTTCACTTAGATGTCGTGAAAACTTAACAAAGTTAATCTAAAATTTAATTGAAAGAAAAAAAATGTAGTTCAACGTATGTACGTTGCATAGTGAAGAGAGAACGATTGAATGTTGCAGGCTGTTTGTACATCTTCGGATTAACAACGTCAATTCTAGATGCTGAAATTTTCCCTGTTTTACTGACAAAATATTGAGATTTTTCCCGACTTTGAATAATACATATTTTGCAATGTTTCTTGTATTTTTATCGCAATACGGAAAATGTTAAATATTCATGTAACATAGATGGACATTATCTTCAGGAAACGATTCCAAAAAAAAGACAAAAAAATGGTAGTCCAAACCAATCATAGAAGCACAAGGCAAGATAAATTTATTTACAGCTATTTTATTTTCCCCGACAAATGTGCTAAATCCCTGACTTCCCTGACGCATGTTTTTTTAATTCCCTAACATTTCCCTGACTTGTGGCAACCCTGGCGAGAGAACGCGTTCATGGGAACAGTTAACGCACCAGCGAGTGCCGGCCGATGTCTGGAAACGCCGCGTTCAAGTTTCGATGCAAACGCCGCACACCTCTCGAGCTGAATTGATTTCGAACTGGGTTACGCGGCATACATATGAATGAATCGCGGCGCCTCTTTTTGAACGTCGAACTCTACGGTGCGCTTGGCGATTCATAGATTAAGTAAGGCACGGGCCGCGGAACACGTTCGTATCAAGACTCCCCTTCGTCGGGGCGATGGACGTACGCTTCATCCAATAAATCTAGCTCGGGCTAGCTGTATGATCTTCGGTTTTCACACAAGAACGATAAATCCGGACGTCGCATTCGAAAGTCGGTCGATCCCGATACCGTTCCCTCCCTTTCTCGCTGCAGGCTAAGCAGCTGCATCGCTGTATAAACTCTGACGTGCATTACCAATTCAATTGTTACAAAGTATTATGTCTCAGCGTTTCTTAAGCGTCTTTCGCTTCTTGTGAAGTACAGAAAATGCGATTGAACGTTTACAACATCCCTTAAATTAGTTAATGGATTTAAAAATTAATTGTCTCTTTAAAAGCGCCTCTTAAATCAAAAGTCTATTAAATAATTTTTAATGGTGTACTCTTTCGATCTTTACTGGAATAACAGTAGATCTTATTAACACATTTATCGAAATTGAATAATGTGACTTTTTTATATCTTACACAGATTATAAAAAGTGATATAATGCATTAATCTATAAAACTTGTAAAATCTCACTCTTATAAAGATTGAAAATTGAGTTATTCTTTTTCAAGACTGGTTCAATTTTCACTCTTTAGAGTGAGATATGCCACTTCAAAGGATTTCGAGGAAAGAGATACGGACAATTAATCTTTAATGTTTGTGAACGATAAAATAACGAATTGACATACGTTTACGCGAGTAAATTATACGAGTCAACAATGTTAACTCTTTCATATGTCTCGGTAACTATACGAATCGGTAGGAAACCATGAATATATATAATCCCGGCAATCTAATCTCTCCCACGAGGCACGAGCAAAAAGAGACGACTACGTGAGTTATGGCCAGACCAATCTTTCCCTCGCTTATCCCTGAGTTATATCTAATCCTTAGCGATGAATTCATCTGCCATCATACCGTCCCCGACACGTATATATGTGACGTCCGCTTAATGCATATACCGAATGGCACAAAATACCTCCCATTAGTGCTTAACGGGACTATACCTCATGACGAATGCGTTCGAAGGGACAGTTTTACAATATATACGACAACGCGATTGAAACGCAATGACATAATAAAACAAACTAGATTCACCCCATTAGTTTTTCAGTCTACCCGGGCATTACGCGATTTTGCTTTTACGAGTTTCTATACTCGCTCGCGTTGAAAAAGCCGACGACTGATTGTGAGACGCGAGCGATCAATCCAAATTTTATCGATATCACTCATAATGCCGCACGCTCTATAATTTTATTTGCCTCGCGCGAAGCTCCGTTAGCTGCCCTAATTGCACAGCCGCCAAACATTATACTCGTATGTGTGTGTGTGTGTATTGTATATACCAAAGCACCAAAGGCACCTGCATACACTTCGTTCAATGGCATTGTCGAGAGGCCCATGGTGTACATCGCGCTGGTGCAGCACGAGTGCACTTCCGGCGGTAACCCCCGCCGTTTGCCCAGGACAGGTGACGCTCCATATTGTGTCGATAAAATATTGACACTCGATATTTTCGCCTTATTCACTCAAGCTAGGCCGGAGAAAACGTTAGAATCTGTGTTTACAGATAGGTCCCGTCCACCTATTTTTTCCGTCATCCCTAATCCACTCTCGCGAACGTGTTACTTTCAGCATCTTGCCATTAGCGACACTTTATCGCGAGGGAAAAAAAAAAAAGAGAGAGAAGACAGCGCGTCCTACATCGCTGGATTTAATTATAATATCGAATTGATTGGCGGTTCGTTACTTTTGACTCGAGCGACGTAAGCGAACTGGATTTGTCTCCGTAGCTACCCAATATTAATATTTTTGTTATCCTTCCAGATTTTTCAATGCTTTTTTTCAGTAAAAGAAATTTCAACTTTTCTTCTTTCTTGGAAAAGAAGACAGTTAGAGTGCGCAATAATGTTGCGATTTTAAAAAATTATAAAATATTAAAAAGATTTATATAATAAGATTGTTTTTTGATCCTATTTCGTCACACTTCTCTCTCGACCTTATATTTTATGAATATAAATATCGTGCTATTATAATGCGACATTATTATTATCGCATTAATTTATAAATAATCTGAGGAAATCGTCGTATCACAATTCTTTTTTTGAATATGAATAAGTGGGAAAGATATCGGCAAATAATACGGATTCCCTTCTTTAGGAATATGCGTTTATCTCACTCACCGTTTTGTTCCCCAAATTTTTGACACGGCAGTTGAGGTACGTGGTCTTTCCCAGCAGGGCGGTCACGTTTTTCGAGGCCGATTTGTCGAAATACGGCCCCGATCGTGCGGCCTCCTCCAAAGCGTTCTGGTTGTATGTGTCGCTGTTCTTGCCGCTGCCGCCGTATGGCATGTTGTGGCAGTGTACTTCTGAAACACGAGAAACCGAAAGAAACTCTGTGTAAATGTGGCAATTTCGATGCTGAACGAGAGAGAAGACATTCGTTCGCGGCGACGTATATCCTAAAGCACTATACGTATTCTTTGTTCCCACGATTGTTCTTGCATGCTGGAAATCGAGAAACGAAGGTAAAAAAACAAATCTCCTTTCAGGAAACAACGTTACCATGTTCTGCGACGAACGAAAAAAAAAGTTGAAAATTTACAAAAAATTCCTCATGGTGAATGAAAATCGGAATACACAATTAGAGCATATTTTGTGTTATGTATTTTAAATATATTGTTTAAAGTGAAATGCAGAACTTTTCTCAGCGAATTTAAAACGAATTCTTCGCGAAAAAGTTATAATTAGAAGGGAAAATATGAAAATAAAATAAAATAGCGAATGTTACAGCGAAAACGGATATGTATAATGTTTATTTGTTTGTATGCAACAAAAACACTTTGTATACATCATAGATTGTAATTATGATATTCATAATAATAATAATAATAGTAATATTATCATTGCTTGCGTGAGTAGTTACCATATTATGCTAAACTATTAATTACGTTCGTTAGAAAGCAGCTTGCAATGCGTAATGGTTTCTCATTAAAGAGCAAGAGTGCGGGAATGCGCATTAATAGTTAATGAAAAAGACCGGGAGACGCGAGATTTTAATTAAATGCTCACAACTATTGATAAATAAAATTACTGATATATATATATATATATATATAAAAGGAACGACTCATTTATGGTCCCAGACGTGAAATTACATAATAAATTGCGGAAAGGAAGTCATAATTATCGAAACGTAACGATCACTTGTTATAAATAGCAAAGTCATTCACCTTCTCCAGTTACTTGACATTTATTATCAGAAATAACTTACCCTCACATCAGTGATTTCTATTTTTCTTTGCACTTCTGCCTCTCTCTCTCTCTCTCAGAAAGAGAAAATAAAAAATCTCTTTATCATCATTTGTACCGCAAAGATGTTTTCATTCAACGTCGCGATAATAGCACGCAATGAACAAAGGAAAATGGCACGTGCATCGCGTAATGCATTTCTTCTGCCAGAAGCTGGCTCGCTTTATTCGATTAAACTTTGCTGAATGCATCACAATACCGATGAGTGGTTGAGTAGAATAGAATGATATAAGTAATTTTCTTCGTTTCGGAAAGCACTGGTAAAGTTTAGGAAAAAAAAAAAACGAATATTTTATTAACGTTTAACTAATAAGAAAATATGTAACATTTTACAACGTATTATATATACGTGAAAAAGTTCGATAGTTAAGAAATTTACACCAAGCTGTTATTTTTACTATCCTATATTAACCGAGTGTTATGAAATGTGTATCAATTCGAGAAAAAAATAGCGACGACGGGAGTGGCAGAGAAAGAAAATCGATCGATTAATGGCGCAAATATTTATACTTATCTCGGATAAACCGAGTTAAGTGTTTTGAACTGTGAGTAAGCTGGCAATAAACTTCTCGAAGCAAAGTATCATCGCGTCGCGGACACCCCCCGGAGAGTTACGAGAATTGTTTATCGGTTCAGCAACTTCCGCGTTGAATCGACGACAAGGAAATAATTTTCTCAAGACGATATCGTCTAATTTTCGCGGTGAGTTCAAGAAACTCATCGCTTTTGTTTCAACCACGTCACGTTCGCGATCGTGCCCGCGTCGAAACAAATTAATCACGATGGTTCGCGCGCAACGTGAATATATCCTGCGCGCGAGATAGACGAGGTAGAGAATTTGCTCGGAATTAAAAACGTAATTTGCAATTACCTTGCTCGGCCATGCGCGGCGCAGGATGAACCTGGGGGCCGTTTCCATCGCCGCAGCCGCGTCCCAAATTTGTCAAAACTCGTACGTTTTCGGGCTTGAAACGAAGCGGGGCGTTCCGAAAAGTAACTAGCGCCGCGAATTATCGCGCTTTTGTGCGAGCGCGCGCAGTTTATTCATTCTCAGCTGACGTGATCGAGAGCAACGAATATAATTGCACGGCTCTGTTATACGAGATCCCGTTAAGGCCAACCTGCGCCACGACCGACCCGGCTCGTTTCCGCCGGGCCTCTCGCTATCATACGCTAGTTACGCTCTATTGCCAGGAACTCGGTGAGTGTATAATCGAATCTCGTCGCTCTTGATTAGGCCGTGATTACGCGAGGAGACGCGCTCGCGGCTGATGCGGCAAATATTGAATCTCGCCGCGCGGCAGAGCCCGGCACGCATAATCCGTCTCGTTTTCTCCGCGAACGGCGACACTTTAGGCGCTTCCGAACCGTCGTCGTCGCCAGTTATCCCCTTGAGTGGCTGGAGAGAACTTTATCCGCGACTTTCGCATCGCGAATTCTCCACGGCGTTACTCCTCAACGTTTAATCCTCCCGGTCTCTTCGCGCGCTTCTCCGCGCAATCGGCTTCTCTCCGCTTAGATAATATTCACGCTAGAATCCTGTCGCTTCTGTTCCCAATGAACGGAGACACGAAACGAATGAAGGGAACGAAACTTTCTAGCAGCACAACGATCAATTATACACAGCTGATTAACAGCACAAATATCGAATACGAACGAAAAGTATAGGTACTTCGGAGTTTAAACGCAATGTTTTCTTTACTAGTTCAGTCGAAACTGTCATAATAATGATAAAACGTGCTTTCAAAGTTTCGTATTATATCTCTCGGAATAATTAAGATACAATTTTTAATTGCCAGCAAAAATTTTATCACTTGGATGTTTCCAATCGCAACTCTTCTGTGCTGATTTAAAAATTGCAATAATAATGAATTCCTTATTTTGTCGCGCTATCATTATACGCGATGTTATGAATAATATTACCTTTTGTATACGTTATGAAACAGAGATACGCTGCGATGATTGCGGCGTATGTAACAAAACTTTGCTCGCGCGACAAGTTTCTTTATTAAATTTAGCGAAAGGCTACGAGCAATTTCGAGCGGGTCCGTTTTATTTGGCGACAAGAAATTCGAGCTCTCACGAAAGGCCGCCAGAATTGGCGAAGTTTGGAACGAACGGGTTACAAGAGCCAGCCATGCTTGTACAATGGGCTCAAGCTAATTTAATTATGAATCAACGCCATTGACCACCTTTCCACCTCGCAATCTGCTCCATTTCCTCAATTTCCTTTCCTTCCGTTCGTACGGCCGTGGCCGACATTTTGCTTTTAACTTAATTTAGAAAAGATGCAAACTCAATTTGAAAAGATGCGATATACCCTCTATCAGTTAATAATAAGGGTACCCATCTAATTTTCTTATACAATTTGAAACGCATTGCCACGAATTACAAGTGAATCGAATAACTAAATGCATTTTCATCTGCGAAAATAATAGATGAATCAGATAACAGAGAGGAGCGGAAAGGAGGAGGACGAAAGTATGTACTGAGCAAGAAAGTATGTACTGTACATACACATACGTGAAAATCTGACGTGGTATATTTCGAATCGCGCTATCGTTCCCTCTTGTTTCTTGCCTTTGTTTCCGGTCTCCATCTGTATCGCGTCGCCGACAAAAAAAATGAGAATTTATCACGTCGAACGGGTGTAAATGTCCGCGGTGTGTTCCCTCTTTGCGTTCAACGAACACGGTAACGCGCCGGCAAATAGCAATAGCAGGTTTAATCGCGATACTTGTAGCGCGTTTATCTCACTCGATGGTCCATTAAATCCCATGGCTCCGGATAATATCGAGTTATGGCTGACGAACCGCGGAATGCGCGCATCAGCGATTCCCTGGCGCATTGCGAATTACATGCTGAAATCGAGGTCGAGACTCGGGGCTTCGTTTCGATTCGACGCTACCGCGACGATCGCGCTAAGCTCCTTCGTGACCTCGAATCAAGAGGCGCGACGGGCAAAATAGAGCTTTTGCCGTTTGCGATGCTTCGCGAAGGACATATGTAGACACGCGAGGCCCTGGTCTAGTGGGTCGTGTCCTTGTAGCTAGATCCTCTCCTAAATTTCGTGATTTTACGGTCCGCGAAGTCGAAGCCACCTCGTAAAATATCTGCGGCGATGGAAAGTCGGACAGGATAAGAAGGCACAACCCCTGGATAGGGCAGGAGGCGCGACATCGGGCACGAGATGTAGCGCCAGTAAAAGCTAGGCAGGAACAGGAGAAATAAAGAGAGAGAGATAGAGAGAGAGAGAGAGAGAGCCGTAGAGTTATCTTTCAATCTACTCCGAAGCCTATTTTTGTTCGGCGAGGTCGCAAGCCAGTTTCTCTCTCTCTCTCTCTCTCTCTCTCTCTCTTGTTTTAAAATTCAGATTCACAACTTTTGCTTAAACGTCTAGTGGATATAGACCGACGACTACATTCCGACTTTTCAGTTTTCAGTTCAAGCACAGTATATCTCGCGTCTCGCGAAACTCGCGCGAGATATTCCAAAAATTCGCGAGGGCGCGTAAATTCAATCATTACTGCTATTATAAATTACTGTTATAAATTGTGCAATATTGCCAGTTTCATATAATTGATTGTTCACTTCGAAAGCTGTACAGGTAGTAATGTCGAGTTATGCTAATTTCTAAATGAGCGAAGCATGGAAATAATTTCGGATGCGGGCTTGCAAGTAAGAAACTTCACTTCATACTGGTATTGAAACGGCAAGGAAGCTCGCACGTAGGCTCGAAACTCTGTCATAAATTTTCGTCTTTTCTTCAAATCGGCCTCGTCACTAACGCCAGAGGAAAAGTTAGATAAGTACAGGAGAAATAAACAGCCCCGTATAGAGCTGATCTGTGAGGACTTCGGGTCCTCGGCCGCGATGTAATTCCGATGAGTTAAGTTTATGAAATTTGCCACGACAGCGGGATATATCAACTCGATCGATGGCTAATGTTATGATCGACACACATCGATATAATAAACAATTTAACATTGTTTACAGGAAGATACATCTTAATGGAAAATAAATGTCGCCGGGGACGATCGTTGTTTTAAACCAAACG